ATGAGAGTTGAGGTAAAATGGGTTAGTAGGTCTGCTAATTCTTTGGYTGATGCTTTAGCCAAAYARGGGGTTWMTAGRGAAGATCTTTTTTGTGCTTCTATGTAAGTTGTTATTAATGTGGAAATCTGTACTTAACTAGCCCGGAGAGGTTGCAACTCGTACCTCTCCTTGAGGACTTTGTAATATTGTCTATTGCTGTTTTATAAAACCATTTCAATTATCAAAAAAAAAAAATTGATAGACAAATTTTCAGTTTCTGTTAAATCAAGGAATGCACAAGATGGGTTCTCAATTTCTCATGAATGTATATGGGCCAAACTCATATAGGAAAGGAATTTGATGTGGGAAGAGTTGGCAAACATTAGAGGGTTATGGGAAAGACCTTGGTGCCTAGGAGACTTTAATATAAGGCTGTGTTTGGTTTGAAGGGAAAAGGTAGGGAAACCTATACAAGCCAAACACAACCATTCCTTCTAGGAATGGCAATGGGGCGGATTTGGGGCAAGGATCATATTTCCGATCCCCGACCTTGACTTTGAAATAAATCCTTGTCCTCAACCCTGATCCCTACCCGGGATAAAAGTTATCCTCCATCCTCGATCCTTAAGAGGGATAGGTTCCTTGCAGGGATCCGAATCCCCAAAATTTTTTATAAACAATATTTTTTGAAAAATAAATTTACTTAAAACAAAGGAGAATTTTGAAATGTAAATGACATTTAAATATATTTTGATATATATAATATAAAAAGTATCATATATATAATGTTTATTTAATATGAATAATATTTTATATATAATTAGGGTTGGGTCAGAGCGGGGATTTCACTCCCCTTCTCTAATCCCTCCCTTGGTCAGGGATCCCTATTAATTCCCATCCCTGTCCTTGCCTTGCTAGGGCAATTTTCATCCTCGATCCCATTGGGTCGGGGAGGCTGGGTATTTGACAGGGATGGGGAAAATTGCCATCCCTATTTCCTTCCTTTCCTTTCCCTACCTTTTCCTTCAAACCAAACACAACCTAATTAGATTTGTGGAAGAGACAATTGGTTGCAGAGAGAGAGGTTAACTACACGCATGAGGAGATTTAACGACTTCATGCAAGCCTTTGAATTAAGAGATATTCCTTTGGGGCAATCATGCTACACTTGGTTCTTCAAGCTAACCCCATATGTTCTAAGCTTGATAGGTTTTTGGTGTCATTAGATTGGAAAGAACATTGGATTGGCCTCATAGGGAGAACTTTACCTAGAATCACCTCTAATCATTGGCTATTTTGTTTGTTCTAAAGGGCTACTTTTGGTGGTCCAATCCCTTTTAGGTTTGAAAACATGTGGCTTACTCACCCAGATTTAAAGAAAGAGTCAAGGATTGGTGGGACACCTAAGTTCAACTGCTATGTTGGGAAGGTAAAAAATTCCTGAAGAAGTTGCAAATGCTGAAAGGAGAAATCAAAGAATGGAATAGAGAGAAGTTTGGGAGATTGGAGGAGAAAAAAACGAAATTTGGTCTCACAAATTGAGGAAACCGGTAAAAAGGAGATAATAGGTTCCCTAGTAGAGGGTGACAGGGAGTTTAGATGGTCTTTAAAAAAGAATTAGAGGAAACTTTGCTTAGAGAGGAAATAAGCTGGAACCATAAGTCAAGAGAGAAGTGGATCAAGGAAGGTGATGGTAATACAAGAATTTTCCATGCCATTGCTAATGGTAGGAGAATAAAGAGGCTTATCACCTCTTTAGTGGTGGGGGAATTTGAGATCACAGATCAAGATGAAATTGCAAAGGCTTTTGTGGAACATTTCAAATCAATCTATATAGGGCCCCTTAATGAGAAAATCAAGCAGAGGTACTAGAAAGACAGTTTGCTGAGGATGAAATTAAGGAAGCCGTATTCTCAACAGAGAGATCCAAAGCTTCAAGGCTTGATGGATTTACAATGGTGTTTTATCAAGACTGTTGGAATATAATGAAAGCTGATTTCATCAAAGTATTTATGGAATTTCAAAGAAGAGGGTAATGAGCTGGGAAATGAACTCAACCTTTTTAACCTTGGTCCTAAAGAAGTTTGGTGCTAATCATCCTAGGGAGTTCAGACCTATCAACTAAGTAACTAGTCTTTACAAAATAATTGCTAAGGTGCTTTCCCTGGGAATCAGAAAGTTACTCCGTTCACTTATCTCCCAATATCAAGGGACCTCAAGGGGCATTCGTTCAAGATAGACAAATAATTGACCAAATCCCAATTGCTTCTGAGGTGTGGATGCCCAAAAGAGACTAAGGAAAAGGGGAATTGCAATCAAATTGGACTTGGAAAAACCCTACGATCTGGTGGGTTGGGAGTTCTCAATTAATATTATGAAGTGTGGATTTGGGGAACAATGGTGTAAATGGATTAGAGGATGTTTGCAAACAAGTTATTATTCAGTAATTGCAAATGGTTTGGTGGTTGACTTCTTTGAAAGGTTTCGAGAATTAAGACAAGGGGATCCCGTCTTACCCTTTCTTTTTACTTTTGTTGCTGAGGTCCTCAGTAAGTTGATTTCAAGAGCTAACAATATGCAATTGTTCAAGGGGTGGTGCATGGGGAGAAATGGGGTGGAAAATTTGAGAATGGTAGTAAAGCTCTTTGAGAGGATGTCTGATTTGAGGATAAACTGGTCCAAAAGTGTAATGGCTGGCATCAATGTAGAAGAGGGTGAACTGAGGGCTTGTGTAGAATCTTTAGGTTGTGAGATTGGGGATTGGCCTTTGAGGTATTTAGGTTTACCTCTTGGTGACAACTCTAGAACCACTAGGTTTTGAAATCTGGTGGTGGAAAGGTTTGAGAAGAGACTAGCGGAGTGGAAAAGGAATTATAATTCTTTGGGGCGAAAATTACCCTAATTAAATCCACTTTCGCCATCCTCCAGGTGTATTACATGTCTGTGTTTAGGGATTTTCTATGGGAACCTAGAGAAGGTAAGAAAGATCATTTGGTAAGATGGGAAAAGGTGGTAAAGTTGAAGGCAAAAGGAGGTCTGGGAATTGGAAATGCTAGAATGAAAAATATGGCCTTGTTAAGCAAATGGCTTTGGAGGTTCCCTAAGGAAAATGAAAGATTGTGGCACAAAGTTATTGCAAGTATCATGGGCTGTCAAATAACAGATAGGATGCTGGTTGTCTGCATAAAGCTACTTTGGCTGCTCCTTGGAAAGCTACCCATGATATCATTCCTGCCTTCCTCAACCATGTCAAGTATGATTTGGCTTTGGGTAAGAAAATTAGATTCTGGGAAGATGTTTGGGTTGGGGAGTATCCTCTGTCTGAGATCTTTCCTTCCCTTCTTTCTCTCTCCAGCCTTTAAAGGTTGACATGTGCCTGATTTTATTTCCCAGCATTCTTCCCCCTTTGGGCTTAATTGGAACCTTGGATTCACTAGGAATCTTAGAGAGTCTGAAATATCCAGTGTGTCAAATCTGCCAAGGGAATTTGGGCCTTTTTCCTCCTAATGCTTCAGGGCTTTCTTCATGAAAGTCTTTCTTCAACTCCTGTGTAGCTACTTCCTGTCTTTCTTTCCTTGTTAAGGGAATTTGGGGTCCCCCAATTCCACCAAAAGTCAATGCCTTCTGTTGGGAAGTGTTTCATGGTTGTATTAACACCTATGACATGATCTAAAGGAAAAGACCAAACTGGTGCTTTTCCCCCAGCTGGTATTTTTTATGTAAGTTGAATGGTGAGGCTGCTCTTTATCTCTTTGTCTCCTGTCCTTTGTTGGCTGCATTTGGGATTGGTTTTCTTCTCTTTTTGCGTGCAGGTGGTCCCCTCCTATCAGCTTGGAAGGGTTGTTTAGGCCATCTGCTTTTAGATGCTCTAAGAGGAGGGGTAGGACCTTGTGGAGATGTACGAGGGCAGCAGTGGTATGGTCGGTCTGGGAAGAAAGAAATTTAAGTATTTTTAAAGGAAAGAGAAAAGCAAGGAAGCTGTGATAGAGGTAGGTAATAACCTCAAGAGTGGCACACTGGGCTAGAACCTTGAATCTTTTCTCTGGGTTCAAGGTTGATGATTTTTTCAGGTCTTGGGCTGCAATAGCCTACTCTTCCTCTACAAGACAAAAAGTCTGTTTGCAGTGGTCACCACCAAGTTGTGAATGGAAGAAGCTAAACTTTGATGGTAGCTGTATGGGTAATCCGGGGATATCAGGCATTGTTGGAGTAATTAGGGATGGAGGGAGTTATATTCTCATTGTACTCAGGTCCAATTGGGCAAGTTGATGTATACAGATCAGAATTTTTGGCAGCAGTTTATGGGATGGAAAAAGCAAAGGAATTAGGTATTGAAAGACTGATTATTGAAGGGGACCCGAGAACAATTTTGAGTTGGCTGAAAACGGGAGAAGGAATTTCGACTTTAAGGAATGATTATAGAACGTTTAAATGGCTGTCTGAAGAAATGATGATTCAAGTTAATATGGTTTGGAGATCTACAAACCATTTGGCAGATGGGCTTGCTAAGCAAGGGGTTCAGAGAGAGTCTATATATTGGGCTCACTTGTAATTTTCTGGGTTAAATATGTCCTCTTGAGCCTGTTCTATCTACGACTTTTTGTTGTACCTCTTTTATCTAATTTTAATGAAATCTTCTCTGTTGCTGATAAAAAAACAACGTATGGTGGTCTGCAAAATGTCAATGAATATTTGATTTTTGATAGGTTTTTCTTCTCATGGTGGTTCTTTTTTTGCAATGCCAACTGTTTTCAGCTTTAGAAGTTGAGGTTGATTTTGATGCCTTATTTATATTTATAGATTAAACTCTATGATTCCAGGGGCATACCCTGCAAGACAACTAATGGGTTGAGACTTGGAGAACTCGATAGTAAACTAGTAATCTTGTTCATTATTTTAGATTAATTATAGCTGCGGAAAGGTGTTCTACTGACTTCAGAAGATGTATAGAAACTTGGTCTTGTATAAAGTATAGAAACTTGGATCTCTTAGGATGCATAGTTCCAAGGGTCATAAATTTATTGCACACTTGATGCTAATGTCTAGTGCTTATTCTGTTTCTGTACTTTCTGCAGCTACTTGACAGTGTATTAGAGAGAGTGTTTTAAATAAGAGTTAAGATTTCAGATCTGCAAATTTAAGAAAAAAAAATAATAGCTCATTATGATCATCATCATCATCTAAGCATTATCCCAACTATATGGGTTCGTTACATGAATCCTATTTTGCCATTTTGTTCTGTTTAGAGCCATCTCTATTGTTAAATTCAAAGAATAGATCATTTAATGGGTTATAATTTGACAAATAATATGTCTTTAGGCCCTAAAATGTTGCTAATCCAAAGTCCAAGTAATTTTATAGAGGAGTGCAGGTCACATTCCATTTCATTTTCTTTAACATTTTTTACTTTTAAATTTATGGTACCTGTCCTCAATTCTAATTTATATTAACATATTGCAACGTATTGGTGAGTATCATATGATATGTATCAGTTTCTGTCCTATTGTTATACAATAGAAATATCTAGAGTTGCACAATAGGACTATTACCCCTGAGAAACAGATTAACAGTTGGGTCTTTTGGGGAAGTGGCCTTAGATCTTACAACCTGTTGCACACTGACCTGGGGGTTCTGGGAGGTCTACCTTTGTTTAAACAAGATGATCATTATTATGGTAGACTCATCAATGGTGACCTGAGATTACTTTAGCAACTGAATGGTTGTGACATATTATTGGTGGTTAAGTATCAATAAGGTTCTGAATGCTTTGAAGAATTCTGACTTTCTGAGTAGGAGTGGCCGTATAAGTATTTTAGCAAAGGTGTTAAGAGAAATGAGCTAGAATGGGAATACTAGGCCTAGGGATAAATATGAAACAGTGTGTAGTTTCTTTATAGTACTGCTGTGGCAGCTTTGGATGTAGTAGTATGGATCCTTCCTTGCGTAGATTTCTCAGGAAACTTGAAATTTAGGTTATGTAATGTTAAGATGTTTACTGAATAACAAAAACCTAACCCGAAAAGTTAAATAGAAGGCAATTTACATTGTTTTGCCCAACATCCAGGTGATGGCTCCCTATGTTGAGCATCAAAGCTAGTAGTTCAGGATCACCACAAATTAGAAACTGATACTGTATTTAAACAATCAGCCAAACCATTTGTAAATATGCAGATCCACCAAAATGAACAAGCCAAGTATGAGTTCAGCATCTTTACTTCCCTTGTCATGAATCTTTGAGACCATGGTCCTTCAGTCCCTGATAGGAATCAAGTTTCACCTACTGTGCTAACATTAACCCTTGGGTGTAGTGAAAGAAGTTCATCCCTTAAGGAATTCCCTGTCCACTTAGACCTGAAAAACTAGTCACTATATGTTTCTTGCATGATTTCTAAAAATCTGATCAAAAATTAAAATTTCATTTTCCCTACTTCAGGTGCCTCCCATGGTTGAGATATAACCCATCCTTGATGAGAGGAACCGGTCACTATGGACAGGCCTCTAAATATTAAATCCAACATAATTCCTTTGAACTCCTTTCTTATTATCACCAGATGTGTGCTACTATCACTGTTCATTTTGTGTATCTAATGATGCAATCCAATATTTGATATCCAAATTCCAAACGTACATCCATATAGAATGAAATCTTAATTTCCTGAGCTACTCTTATGAATCCATATCTTCTGTGAGTACTTATTTGCTTTAAATTTATAACAGTTTAACTTGTTTCATTTGATGGCAGTTTCATTTTGGAGTTGCAGTATATTATTGTGTCCAAATGGCCTTGCGTGAGCAGGGATGCGTGTCCTTGAATATTTGCATTGACTGCATAAGAGATGCTCAAGGGAAAGTGCTCTTAAATATGATCTCAATGTCTGCAACTCTGAGAGGACCTTGTCAGGTATCCATTGCATTGATGGAAAGTTAATAAAGAGATTATTTCATGGTTCAGTAATTAAAGTTGGGTTTGATCTTCATCAATCATCTAAGTTCAAGCTTTTTTTGCAGGAACTATGTTATCTAATATGTCCTTGCACAACAAAACCCAGATTTTATTCGGAATATATGATTCCAAAGGCTACCATGTGCGGTTCTGAATGCAGAAATGTGGAAAGACTTGTTATAGTGAATAACAGAATATCTCCTGGAATAATGTATGCTGTCACTGAGCTTAGCCGGTGACAAACTAGACATACTTGTCCAGGATCGAAACTATGTTATTCAAACGGCTGAAATTGACAAAGTTAACTTTGATCCAATATTTATTTGTTCTATTGTGTTTGGCATTATAATCATCCCATAATTTGTACTAAATAGCAAGCCACGCACAAAGATTTAGTAGGCAACAACATTCAAAACAAAGCAGGTTGATTGCCAACCATCTGAGGAATGGATTCTTCTGTGGGGCTCAACCACATTTTAGTGGTGATCTAAGGGAATGTAAATAAATTAATGCTACTATCGTCCAATCGTTTTGAATTTGTTAATTCACTACAAAGCTCTCCTGCATGGGGCCTGAACTCTTATATTTTAAGATGTTTTTGGTGGTGGCAAATAGATTGTGTTCCTCTATTACCTTAGATTTACACTAGCTGAATACTGATTAACATTTATATCTCTTCTTCCTTGGTCATCATAAAGAAAAAAAAATGTATACTTATTTTTATTTTGCCGGATCAAATGTAGAGATCACACTGGTCTGTATCAACTTCTGGTGTTTGGACTCCAACATCATTTTCAAGGCAGTCTGATGCATATTGGTTATCTCACGATCATTTTTATCAATAATTGCAACTTTCGTTAATTAAAGAAGAGAAAAGAAGTGTACAAGTACAATTGGAGATAAAACAGCTTATCTCCATAACCCAAAACATTTGATATCTCCGAACCCCTTGTTTTGCCATAAGGCCCATAACATCAGCCTAGCCGATCTTTGAACCCATTGAATTCTTACCTCTACGCCTCTGATATTCATTTAATCTTTGTTAGCCCATTTTTATACATTCATGAATCATCCATTATTTCAGCCCTCAAAGAATCTCCAATCCCAATTGGACCAGAATTAAATTGCTATCACCTGATCTAACTCGTTTCTGAACAACCTCTTACACCTGAGGGGCTTGGATTCCCCATCCTATAGAAATCATCCATTGAGAAAACTGAAAACAGATCTAGAAACTTTAGCCAATGAACAGTTCTGATGGTGATGCATTCTATCAAGTCTTCTTTACTATTGTTTTTCAAGGAAGATCTTGCATTTCTTTTCTCAAAGTGTCTAAATTACTGTAGCTTATATGCTTTTCCACATAATTCTACCTCTCTTCTTTTCTTAGGCCAATGGGAGCAAAGAAGATTTTAACCTAGGTCTCCTACACATAAGACAATAAACCATATCACCATACTACATTACCTTCTTAAAATCACGAGTCCAGATCAGTTGACCCATAGTTGTTAAATCAACAAGGCACTCATGGAGGGTTGCCTTGCTTAATTGCCAAATTTTTATTTTTATTTTTTTTTGTAAATGCTGCTATTATATATTTTTATATTCTTAATTTTATGAGGTTATAATAATAAAACAAGCATTATTAAACAAACTTTTTACTTTGGGTTAAAATGTTCGTTTCTCTTTATTATTTTCTTATATGTTAGGGTACTCAACACACATATTGGTGTATTGTGTCTTGATTTAGTATCTGAACTAATAAATAAAAACATAAAATTATCTACTCAAACATTCTTCTTCTTCTTCTTCTTCTTCTTTTACCTTTTCCTTTTTTCCTAGGATAAAAACAGGGCATCTGTACCTCTTTTTTTCTGAATTTCTTTTCTTTGTTTTTGTGTCTTGAATATATTAATTTTCGATGTTTTAATACGAGATTTGTACATCTTTTATGAAGATCATAGACAGTTACTAGTGAAAGATGATTGCTGGTTGCCATAGAACCTAGGGAATTACCCAAGGATTCATGGTTTTAGTTAAAAAAAAATCATGGTTTAGGTGAATAGGTGAAAAAGTGCCTCCCTGTTGCCTAGCCTTGCCTTGGTTTTTTGAAAACTGTGTTGATCACAACATGCTAGCCACAAGACACAATAGTCGCACCACATTGGGAGTATTTATTGTACTTGTATGTTGTCATTCATGGCCGGGGGGGGGGGAGGATTTGACTATGATGCCACAATGACATGAACTGGAAAAAAAGTTATAACCAATTAACTGACATCATAAAAGTGGTAACCAATCAGATGAATTGTACAGTTGATTTCTTTATCAGGAATGATAACAAACAAGTGAACAATCTTATGTTACTCTTTTGGGTTCCTCACCCTATATTAGGAGACCCATTAAAAAATCCACTACAAGAAACAAAAAAAAAGGGAGTGCTTTTTTAGAGTTCCAACTTTGTCTTGTTTTTCAAGTTTCATGGGACTACACAATAGGGGTTTGAAGTGGGGGGTAGACCATTCCCAACCTCTTAACCCCCCCAACCCTGGTGGCAGCAGGATTTGATCCTAGGTCTCTACTATGAGTCAGCGATCCTACCGATTGAGCCACCATCAACTGAGCAAAAGCGAGAATTGCATATACTTGTTTTTTACTAATATTCTTTTAGGAAAAATACTCTGCAGCTCACTACAAAATTATAAATTACAGCCCCCCATTGCTATTAGTAGCCCCCCATAAACACATCCTACCCGTTGATGGCATCAATCCATAGTTAGGCTTCAATCCAAGGGCTCTAAATGGCATCTGTTAGTCCAAATTCGATTCATTTATAATTCTAGCATAAAAAATGATTTGATAAATAGATAGATATATGCCAAACACGATTTGATATTTAAATGTATATGTTCACATATATTTAAAATTTATTTCTAGTATAAATTTATTTTGATAAAATAATATCAAAGTCATTTTTAGATTTTAGTTCAGCCACTCCAACTGAATAATTTATTTTCCATGTCTTTTTATAAATATAAATTTTACATAAAAGTAATGAGATTTTAAATTAGTTTGCTAGCAGTACTACTAATAAAAGGTTGAGTTGTAACACTGTCGTATTTTTATTACATACTCTTAACACTTAAATTACTTGTAATTAAAAAAATATTTATTATTATTATTATTATTATTATTATTATTATTATTATTATTATTATTATTATTATGTTAAGAGACATTAATTACTTGATTCCAGTTTTCATTTCATAAAACATAAATGTACTTTAGAAAAGTCAAACGACACCAATAATTTTCATTTTACTTTTTCAGTTTGTCTTTCAAGCCTTCAAGGGTGGGCTTGCTTTGCAGAGGCGCACGTTAGTAGCCTCTCTTGTTTATCTTTTATTTATCCTCTTTTCAGTTTTCACTTGATTCTCATTAAAGGGGAGTTCGCTTATCTGAAACTCTACCCAAACAGCGTGAGAGATGGCTCTCCTCCTGTTCTCTCCCTCCCTCTCCTCTGCTTCTTCTTATCCTTCGTCCCCGTCAATGGTCATTACAGCAACACCGAGTAAGAATCTATACAAGATGCCTTTGAACTCTCTTCTTTTTCTCTTTGAAGTATGTTCTTTTCTATTTGTCTCCTTTCTCTTTCCATTTTTTCTGGTACACTTGAGTAGAGTTTATTAAGCTTAGATGTTTCTAGGTTTCCTGTACTTGTTATCCATTTCCGACTGACTGCATTATTGGAAGTTTTCGAATTTTTGTTTTTTTTGCAAAACTAACATTTTCTCTGTTAAATTTGCTATTGTTTTACAGTTATTTCCCCATTTCCCATATCTTTTTGGTCTTTTTTTTTTTTAAATACTTCAGGGTCGAAGTCTCAACATTTCATCTCGGTTGTATTTATCAAAAAAAAAAAAAAACATTTCATCTCGGTTGTGCGTTTTGTCCAACTTTTTCATTTGGGTTCTCTTTTGGTGCCCAGAATTCCTTCTTTTCTTCCTCGGTATCTCTATCCCCGTTTTAGGGCAATTACCACTGCGTCTGCGACAAATCAATTTTGTCCAGTTGACTTAGCTGTTTTTCATTCATCTCTCACATGGGTTTTCTTTCAACCAGTGTATATTCCTTTTTTCCGCCTCCATATGCATATTTCCATGTTGCTCTAATGCTGAAGCTTGTCTTTCATGTGGTTTTCTTCTTTAGCATCTTCAATTTAATCTTTTTCTTACTTTGTATATCTTGAGATACACAATTCTACCTCTTTTTTTTCTGCTTTAAGTGGTGTCTGTATTGTACATGGCATTCAGTGTCCAGGTTGCAGAAGAAATGCATTGGTATGCAACCAAAGTCTTTCAATGGAGTTCGAATTTTTCTGTCCGGAGTTCAAGAACGGGGAGCGGTAATTGTTCGGGCTTCTTCAGATATAGATGGAGTTGGTTTAGAGAGCGCAGAATCGGCAGCTGAAGGGAAGGAAGAGAATGTTTCAGTTGAAAAGCTTCCTTTAGAGTCCAAGCTACAGATGATGCAGGAGCAGAAACTGAAGATGAAACTGGCAAAGAAGATAAGGTTGCGGCGGAAGCGGCTAGTCAGGAAGCGCAGAATGAGGAAGAAGGGAAGATGGCCACCTTCAAAGATGAAGAAGAACAAGAATGTATGACCCTTTCCCAGAGTCATCCCTGCAGGTTTAGAGCTTGCTCTTTTTCTGCTTAAGCCATTTCAATTTGGTCATTGTTGTCTTGAATTGATCGTTATTAAATGTATTTTTTGTTATCAGTTCAAATTTTAAGGGCCTTAATATTGTTTTGTCAAATCGAGTTATGGCTTGTAGAAATTTATTGTCATGATCATTTCCTGATATTTATACAGGTCAATTATGTGGATTCAGTTTTTTTTTTTTTTCAACCTTTATTTTTTCTTTAAATTTTCCATGTTGAACCCCTGCAACTCCGGGTTGATATTCTTATGCTTCTTAGTACGCCAATAGTGGAAATCTCTCCCTCCTTTTTCCTTTTTCTCTTTTCCTATTTGGTGAAACATACTAGTCTGAGTCTGTTGCAGATTGTCATTTTCTACATGTCACAATTTTTTCAACATAATCTGTCCATTTATATCTAACAGGGTCTTTTCCTTGAGTTGTTTTCCACCTAACCATGATGAAAATATTATGAATGTGGTCTAAATTTGTATCTGGTAAGAGATTGGTGGTTCACAATTGGCTGCATTTCAATCCTTTGTTACCACCACCATTTTGCTTACATGCCATTACCAATCCCTCTTGTATGTGATTCTGCTGCTGAATGAATTCCCTTAATTCTTTTTTTATACTTTGTCTTTACTCTCTGCACATTGTTACTTTGTGGCACTAAAAGCTTCATCAGTTGGTCGACTTTTCCTTTTGGAGTTCATCATTAATAGTCCAGTTTCTCATGTCATGAGTCCATGAATTGAGTAGTAGAATCATGATCTTGGTAAATAAGAATATCAGCTAGACTCCAAAAGTCTGAAGCCCAATCCAATCTGGTTGTTTGGATTCAGATCTTAGAACCTGCATCCATTTAATAATTGGATTGGATGCAAATTTAACCCTATTGGATTTGGACGAAGTTTCAAATTGGATTTGGATATGGCTGGATCTAATCTGAATCCAGCCTGATTACAGCCCTACCTCCATAATTAGAACTTATCCTTGGTGACATTAAACAAATTGAGCAAGGTCTTGAGATAATAATTTTAATAAAATGCTAAACAAAATTTTCAGTGTCTTCATATCGCCCTTCGAATTCTTCCATATTCCCTTTTCTTCCACTACCAGCAGTAGTTCTATTGTATTTTTCCATCTGTTGGTGATATTGAATCTTAGTTGTGTTAGTAGCCTGACCTAATGTAAAGAAAAATTGACATTATTAAACTGGACAAATGATTAAGTTATTCCTAACAGTCCGAGTTTTCTGTTAGAGATATTCTCCAGTGAAAGATTGACTGGTGAGCATACAAACAAGATGATGCTGATAGAACATATAATTTTTGTTTTCATCTAGGATCTCTGTAACGTTCAGTTCCCTCAGGAGGGTCCCATGGATGGAATCATTTAATTTTGAAGTAGGGAAGAAGTTCTTGAATCCTTAACTGTTATCTATTCAATTTTAGCATTTCTGTGTGACCCCCAGCCCCCTGTTTTTCCTGTTGACGAGCTTATGTTTTCAAGTTTCTAGAAACATGATATCCAAACACCCTTATGCATGGATCTGATAACTATTTATGTGAAGGTGGTTTCTAGTGAGACGTTAAGTTAATATTCTAGTGCCAAAAGAACAACATATGCTAGCGAAGTGGATCCAGTCCCCAGGAAAGAATGTTGATTTGGTGGATGGTTAGCCCATTTCATCTTGGAAATAATTTCTTGGTCAACTAAAGTGACTGGGTGGTGTAGTAATAGGCAAATTAGAGAGGGAAATGGTGAAGATACCCATGTTGAAGAAATTCATGTCTTCAATTCTAATAATTTTAGGCATCATTAGGGCTCAATTATCATTATTTTTTTAGTTTTCTTTCCATGTATAAAGGCTTTCTGTATGCATATTTCTTTACATGGTTTCTCTTTCATTAAACATGCGAAGTCCTTGCATACAGGGCTTTGAGCTCCTTGCTTTTGATTATCAAGCTTGATACAAGTTATCATCAGGCTTCATTTCTTTTGATGTAGAAGGTGAGGTAATATTTCCATCATAGAAGGGGGTAAACTATAGTTGAAACTGCCATAATGAAAACTCTTGCACTCATTTTTTTTCTTTTTTTTTTTTTGGGAAAGGTAAAGTATAGTATGCTGTATTAATATCAAAGCAAGGTTTTTTGTACAATGAGTAACTGTACATAACAACCAGCTCTTTAAGAAACCTACTGCTGCATTGGTTATCACTGCTTCTGAAGCCAGCTTCTGTTAAAAAATTCTGCAATTTCTTTCCGGCCAGATGGCCCACAATACTGCAGCCGGAATTGAGGATGAACATACCTTCCCCTTTTTAGACATACCCTGGATTGGCCATCGTTTTAACAGGTCCTTCACCGACCTTGGAACACACCAGTTCAAATTTATGGCATTCACAAAGTAGTTCCATATTGAAGCACTGAAGCTACATTGCAGAAATAAGTGGCTCGATGTCTCCACCACTCGATTGCAGAGAACACAGAGCAAGTCGGGGACATTAAACCCCTTTTTCACCAACATGGCCTTAGTCAAGCATTTGTCCAAAACAGCCACCCACAGGAAGAATTTTACTTTAGAAGGGCCTGCTGCTTTCCACATTAATTTTGCTCGGGAAAGACTCTCTTGCCTCTCCTACAAGACCCAAATAGAAGGACTTGACAGAGAACACTCCAGAACTTGTCCATTTCCAGCATCTTGTATCTTGGACTTGCAAGATCAGCTGCTGATTTTGAAGGATTTCGAAAAGATAAGGCCACTAGATCCAGCTCCCAATCGTTGAATTTTTGAAAAAAGTATCGATCACGAAAGTTGGGGAGATTTTAGACAATTATTAGAATACTTAGGAGGTACTCTAAGACAATATATGTAAACAATAAGGATAGAGTTAGTCAATTAACTAAAGCATAATGGTAGTTTAAGAACTTTGCTCTTAAATTTATTTCTTATATTTCATCTCTTTTGAGGGGGTCGTTCTATCTCTATCCTTTTCTCTACTAATTTACGGTTCTCATTTAAGGATTGGTGAAGTGGTACCCCTAATGCAGTGTAAAGCTTCCTTATCCCTTCAGGATGCCACCTCTGCAAATTTCAGAAATGGTAGATGATTCATTGAATTCATGTCTATGAAATGTTGAACTCTTTTAACACGGCTCTCCAATGATTTGTTCATTGTGGTATTAATTACCAAATACAGTCATCCATCACCTAAAGGATCAAGACTTTCCAAGTCATCCTTCATTGTATCAGCTGGGAAAAAGAGGGAACCCAGTACTCTATTTGTGTCCTAATATCATACAAAATAGTAAAGATTAGGGCTGTTCACAGGTCGGGTTGGGTCGGTTTACTGTAGTTTTTCCAACCGACCCGACCTGGTCGGGTTACTTGACATAGAAACCGAAACCGACCCAGTGTTAAGCAAAACTGACCTGGTCGGTTTGAGTCGGGTTGGGTCGGTTTTAGTTCTAAGTTCATCCCTGTGATAAAATCTTGCTAATTTTAAAAACAGTCATAAATTGAACATCATTTCAGCCATCTTTTATGATAAAATTTAAATAAAAAGTTAATCACAAAAGTTGTTCATTAATCACTATTCACTAATTCAAAGTTTCTTGCAACCATTCAAAAACTAGGTGGCCTAATGGGCTTTGGAACTTCATGTTTGAACTAGGAACTAAGTCGGTTCGGTTCGAGTCGGTTTCGGTTTTCATATGTGAAAATCGAAACTGACCCGAATCATCAGTTTAGGAATTTGCACAACCCGAAACCGACCCGTGCTGATAAAAACCCGGCCGACGTGAGTTGGATCGGTTTGGTCGGATTGGGCTTCTTATGAACAGCCCTAGTAAAGATTCCAAATTTATCAGATTTCTTTGTTCAGAAATCCCCTCCCCCATCACCGCCTAAACCAAAAATACAATAAATACTGAGATAAAAATCATGAGCAAAGCCCACTAAATGCAATAATGCATCATATGCTACCATTCAAAAGCTTTTTTCTTGAAGGGCAAGCAGGTTCAAAATCTTGGAAAGGATCAACCGTAAGCAGAACACTGACGGGGACTTCCATATCCATGTCTCCACCGCCAAATCAAATTCTCTTAATGATATTCCAATAAAACCTAGAATGCACCTAATTATTCTCTTCTTAATGCCTGTATAAAGAAATAAGCTCACATTTTTTAAAACTACGAAATAGATGCAGGTCCAAGTATCATCTCCATTTTCTAAAATATAACCTTTTTCCTTCTGACAACCTCCTCCATTCAACACCTTATACTTCATTTCATTACACAGATTTTTCTTTTCTAACCATTCCCTCAAATGACATCCAGGCCATTGAATAGGTATCTGGGAAAGTTGGAAAGTGTTCATATGTGGAATTTTATTTCTATGTATAGTGAACCGGAGTATCCCACCACTCCTTGACTCTGGCTTTAAATTCTAGATGAGTAAACCACCTATTTTCAAATCTAAAAGGGGATGGGCCCCCATCAAATCTCTTATGAAATGGGCATATCGGCCAGTGATCCTAGGCAATGTTCTTCCCAACAATTTTGTCCAATGTTCTTCCTAATCTAGAGAAACTAAAAATCTATCAAGCTTAGAGTAGATTGGGTTAGCCTGAAAATTTGACCAAGTAAACTTAGAATGCCCGAGAGGGAAGTCTTTCAGTTCAAAATCCTCCATGAACTCATTGGATTTCCTTATACTTGTAGTAACCCTTCCCCTACTCCCATTTGTTTCTTCTATATCTCTGATTGTGCTAAAATCTCCTCCTAAATACCAGAGCTCCTCCCGTAGCCCTCTTATATCTGCCAGTTCATCCCAAAACAAAATTGTCTCTCTAATATGAGTTTGATCTGTAGACATTTGTAAGCACCCATTCAAACCATCATGTACATTCCTGAGTTTTACTGAGACTGAGAATTTCGTCACTAATTCCTCAGAAGAGTATATTGTTTCCTCCCTCCAGACTACTATCATGCCCCTTGAGGCTCCCCAAAATGGGGCAAAGCTCCATCTTAAGTTCCTTTCTCCCCAAAATCCTCTAATCCATTTACTATCAACCTCCTGAGTTTTACACTAGGTCAGGTTTTTCTTTCCTCAACACTCCCTTTACTTCTCTCCTCTTTGTGGCACTCCCTAGACCCCTTACATTTTAGCTAATGATCTTTATGGTGAAGG